CAGTCTCCTCTCGGGATCTTGGGCACACACACACGCACCCAGCCAAGACTCAAACTTCGGTCAACTACATGGAAGTCCAGGAGACATAGCCATTACGCCAGCTGCTGGTCCCAGAGCCTTCTAATGCTTCTAGACTCTATTTATAAATAGAGAGTAATTTATATTCAACTAGTTTGGCCATGACCAGGATGCTATTATTTAGTAAGAGGAGAAAAGTAGCTGCTCTTATAACCGAGGAGGGGAAAAAAAAAGTATGAATCTTATCCAGTTAAAATCCAAACCTGAGGGGCCAGCAGTTGGCTTAATGGCTATGTCGCTGGACTCCCATGTAGTTAACCACGGTTCGAGTCCCAGACCCAGTGGCTTAAACTCATGCTGGGTGCGTGTACGTGCATGCCCAAGATCCCAAGAGGAGAATGGAGGAGAAGGGGTTGCAGAGTGACCATCCCTCTGGGGGATGATTTCTTGCTTCTGACTTTCTGCCTCTCTCTGTCTTTCTGGCGAGCACACATGCCCTATAGCAAAAAGCCTTTAAAACAAACAAACAAACAAACAAACAAACCTGAAACAATGAATTCCAACAGCTGGCCATAAAAATTTCATTACCGAGGCCCAGCAGGTGGCATGGTGGTTAAGGGCGCTGGAATCCCATATAGCCAACAGCAGTTCTAGTCCTGGACCTGGCAGCTTGCTTTCTTACTTTCCCTCCCTCTCTCACTCTGTCCCTCTCTGGTCAAATTTAAAATGAATAAATATAAATAAATAAAGTTAAATAAAATCATTCTTTTTTAAAAATTTCATTACAAGAGTCTGCATTTTTCCACCGCAAAACTAGAAAATCAAGTATCTTTTATCCTTATTTTAACACCTCTACTGTATTTTCTTACTAAGATTAGTAGCTATGAACGGCAAGTAAAGAGATTGCTTCTATGGATGGCTTGGACCAGAATAAACAGGGGTGGGAGGAATAGGAAGAGATAAGTGTGTCTCTAGTTACTGCGCACTGGTTTTATCGGTTAGACAGAGCGGATATCACCTCTGTTCTTGGTTTAATCTTCCCCTTTCAAGTTGGGATACCTGCTTTCCTTAACTATCCTAGCTCCAGGGAAGGACTAACCATGAGGAAACTTAGTTCTTTCAGGTATTGAATAAAATCACACCAAATAGTAAATTGCTATCTATATCTACTTTAAAATTGTATCACGTGTCTTAAAAATGTCATGGGAAAACAAAAAAAGACAGAGTGTGTTCTACAAAATATTTAAACCATAAAGCCAGTACGGCCAGTGATTAAGGAGATTAAATAGACATAGATGATGGGCATAAATCAGAAGTGTGTTGTCAAAGATTAGTAGTTACTAAAGCTGTTTATCGTCCTTCCATTAGGGGAAAAAAAAAATGGCAGTCATAGGGATTTTAATGGAGGTCTGAGCCATCAAGCCATTATGTAATTTTGATCTGTTCTTGCTTCTCTTGCCACAAGGGAAGATAATTTCCTCTACAGCAAATAAATTCCCTCCCTCTCTAACATGCTATGGGGTACAAGGCTAGGCCAGCCACACCTCGTGGGACTCAGTTTCCTCACATAATAAAGAAAGAAGTTTGTTCTTGCAGTTTTGATACTCTGTGGTTCTCCAAAAGAAAATGTTTAGATCTAGGATGCAAATTGCCATAAACTTTTTTTTCTAAGACACATTTAATTGTAAAACGTACTATTAATTATGCACCACTAACAAAAGAAAAGTCCTGCCAACTAAACTATGACATAGTGTCTTGACTATAACCCTGTGACCCAAGAATCAGTCACACCAACTTCTCATGCTCTATAATATGCAATAATTCCTCTTACCTTCAATTGTACTGTATGGCTTATCACAGACAGTTATTTTATATATATCTCAGTACGTAACATAATTTTATTTGTGGGTATCTTTCTTTCTCAGGTCCCCAAACACATTTGGTTCTTGGGGTTTTTATTGTAATAGTAAATGGAAGCAAATACTGAATATTTGCTTTACTAATATCAGATTCATGTACTACTATTTCCATACCTTCTGTAAATACAGTAACTTTGCATTTTGATGCCAAATGATAGTGCAATTTTTATTTTGTAATTTAAAGGGCAAGTAATTTCAACATGTGATTACCAAGTATATTTAACTCCACTGAAGTCATGACAACGTGATGGTTATGGTTATGGAATGGTTATGAGTTTGAGCCTGGGAAAACCATGACAACTACATCATGGCTGAAGTCTGGCTGACATTAGTATAAACAGTATCCCAGTTGACTTCGTAGATTTTAAAAACATAGGAGTGGGAGTGATAAGTGTGTGTTTTATTTATTTAGCCAGAGGGTGCATATGCTCACCAGAGAGAGAGACAGAGAAAGGGAGAAAAAGCATCTCTCGATGGAATGTAGTCAGGTTACAGCCTTCTGCATTTTTCCATCCTATTAGAATTTTAGACACACATGCACACACACACCTGGTAGGTTTTTCAAGCCTCCAGGACCAGAATTTGAACCAATCCATCAGCCATGTGGAGTCTAGCTCCTTTAACGACAAGGGATGGCCATATTGTATGTATGTGGAGGGGGGAGGGTTTAGAGAGATTTGTTTTTTTCACTTTTCCAATGAACTTTTATTGTTATCATGATTTAAGGTCCCAGATCCCACTATGTACACAGATCCCATTTTGCCACCTAGGACAAGGATAGAGGGCAGAGGAGAGGTGGGTGAAGCCAGTTCAGATATTCTCAGGAAATGCGCCTTCTGCTCGACAGTCATTCCAGGTTGAAATCCAGGATATGGGGCAGAGAGACTTGTATACACGCCAGTTCCATTTGCACACAGAGACGTCACCCCCTTTAGCGATAATTGCCTTCTTCCAGCGGTGGAAGTTCAGGTAGTTCTGCCAGCAGTTTCTGGTCTGGTTCTGATTGGGGAAGTGGCTGTAAAAAGGGGCAGTCTTGTAACTCTTGATTTGGGTTTTGAACTCTTCTGCCATGGTTCTGACTCCTAAAGACATCTCTGCAGCAGCTTGCAACTCAACGTGACCCTCAGCAAAGATGCCAGTCAGACAGCTAAAGAGATTTTTGCTATAGAGTGCATCAGTTCGCCAGAGAGATAGAGAGATAGAAAGTGAGAAATCACCACCCCAACCCCCCCCGGGGGCAGGGGGAAGATGACCACACCACAATCTCTTCTCCTTCATTCTCCTCTCAGTATTTTGGGCATGCATGCACATGTGCCAGGTATGCGTTTTAAGTTGCTGGGTCCAGTACTCTAACCGTCAACTATGTGGGAGTCCAGCAACATAATCATTATGCCATCCACTGGTCCCTGTGTTGTGCTTGCTTTTTTATTTGTTTATTTTGTTTTATTTTATTGCCAGAGAGTACATGCTCTCACCAAAGAGAGCAAGAGAATGCACCCTCCCTCTGCCAATGGGGAATGGTCACACTGTAATCCCTTTTACTCCACTTCCTCATCCCATCAGGATTTGGAACACACATGCACACATACCTGGGATGTTTCTTAAGGCACCAGGACGAGGATTAGTAGCATGGTCTGCCATGTGAGATCTTTCTATGCATCTTGTGTGCATCTTTCTATGAACAATACTTAAGGGCTTCTCAAAAATGTGTTTTATTTTTATTTTGCTTAACAGTTGTACTTAAAGGCTTCTCAAAAATGTGTTTTATTTTTATTTTAATTGCAGAAAGTATGTGTGCTTGCCAGATAGAGACAGAGAGACAGAGGGAGTGAGGGAGAGCACATACACACATCCACACGCACAATGTATACACCCCAGCAATGGGGCTGCAATTTCTTCTCTAATTCTCCATTCTGAGGATTTAGAGCACACATACATATATTTGTTTAGTGTGTTTTTGAAGCTACCAGGGTCAGGATCCTAACTGCTGTCAGCCATGTGGGATCAGCTTCCTTAACCATTAGGGTATGTGTGTTTTAGAACCAACACATTGAGATGTCTTGCTTACCTCCAGTAATAGAGGTCTGGCATATAATGTGTTCAGTAAATAGGTTGTGGAAGGATTAAATGAAAGGATGGATGAAAGGCTGAATGAACAAATGAGTAAGAGTTGAGAATGCTGAAAAAGTCGTTCACTGCCTTCTCTGAGACTGTTTCTTATTTGATGGCAAACTACACTGCAGTCTTGAATCCCCAGAGCTGGCTGGAATCGTGAGGCTCTCAATTTTCACCTAAGACTTTGGCAACTGGTGCACATTCCTTTTTTCTGCTCCACCTCTTATGCTTCTATCAGACTATGAAAATCCCAGGTCCCTGTAGAAGACTCAATGTTCCACAGATCTTGCATTTCCTGGACTCCTCAGCCCCAGTGGCCTTGCTTTCTTACCCTCTCTGGCAGCCTGCTCCCAGCTGCCTTCCTCCTTGTCCTTACTTTTGAACCAATCTCCGACTCCCATGTTGCACAGTGACTTCCTGTCTTCTCACGCCTGCACCAGGCAGCACACAGGTTCATCTGCTCCAACTTGAGAGGGCTCGAAAGCTGCTGCAAACTGTACTTTCTGCCACTCTTTTCAACAGATGTTTTACTCATTTCCTTTTTTCTTAACACCCTCACCTTCATTTTTAGTTACTCGTCTTACTTTCAACTATGGTAGAAAATTGAAGCCATCAGTTGAAACTTCCTGAGGTCCCTCACCAGTGCCTAAAATATCTAACTCTAGCCTTTCCTCTTTCTTATCTCAGAGGAACATTTTCTCCAATTCAAGGTTCATCCTTCCATCTGGAAACCTTTATTCTATTAATTATTCCCTCTATCTCCTTTACTCCAATCTTTCCCTTTACTTCATTTCTTTCTTTTTTTTTTTTTTTTTTTTTGGGGGGCGAAGAGGTTTTTGCTATAGGGCAGGGCACATGTGCTCACCAAAAGAGACAGAGAGAGACAGAGAGACAGAAAGTGAGAAATCACCCCCCAGGGGGGATGGCCATGCCACAATCTTTTCTCCTCCATTCTCCTCTCGGGATCCTGGGCATGCATGTACATGCACCCAGAGTTTAAGCCACCGCATCCAGGACTCAAACCACAGTCGACTACATGGGAGTTCAGCGATATAGCCATTACGCTAACTGCTGGTCCCTTGATTTTTTTTTTTTTTTCTGACAGCATATAAATATTCTCATCTCTACTCTCCTTAAAAACAACTTCCAGAGACCAGCAGATGTTATAGCAGTTACATCACTGGATTCCCACATGGCCAACCAGAGTTCAAGTCCCAGACTCAGTGGCTTCAAAATCACACCAGCCCGTGTGCATGTGTACCTAAGATCTCAGGAGGAAAATGGAGAAGGGATTGCGGCATGGCCATCCCCCCAGGTGGTGATTTCTCACTTTCTGTGTCTCTGTCTCTGTCTTTCTGGAGAGCGCACACACCCTATAGCAAAAACCTCTCCAAAAAAAGAAAAACAGTCAACTTCATGGGATCAGCAGGTAGTGTAATGCTTACATCACTGGACTCCCAGGTAGTCAACCATGGTTCAAGTTCCAGACCCTGATGCTTAAAACTCATGCCAGGCACATGTGCATGTGTGCCCAAGATTCTAAGAGGGGAATGGAGGAGAAGAGATTGTGGCGTGACCATCCCCGCTAGGGAGTGATTTCTCGCTTTCTGACTCCCTATTTCTCACTGTCTATCCGGTGAGCGCACACGCCCTATACCAAAAGTCTCTCTCTCTCAAAAAAAAAAAGAAAAAAAAAAAAGCCAACTTTCACCCTCCCACTCTTCTATTCTAGTTCTATCCCTTTCTCTTTCCTCCAAAGCCAAGTTCTTTAAGGTGGGTGATCTACTAGTCCTCTCTCCATTTTCTTTCTTTTTAGTTACATATTCACTTGCCTGAGAGAAACAAAGAAAAAGGAAGAAAAAACCCTCAAATGGGGCAGGGTCATGATGTAATTCTTTCTCTTGCATTTTTCCATCCTATCTGGATTTGGAACATGCATACACATGTGCCTGGTATGTTTTTCAAACCTCAGGGCTGGGATTTGGATACTGGTTGCCCACATGTGATCCACTCTCTTCACACTAGGCCACAAGGTCAGCTCTGTCTCCATTTTCACTTCCCATTTACTTGAAAGTCTGCTTCCAGCTGACAAACATGCTCACTATGCCAATAAAAATGTTCTCTAAGGCCACTAATTACCTCCACATGGTCTGTCCTTACCTCACCTGACCCCTCTGCAGTATTTAATACTGTGTAATACTCCCTCATTGACATTTCTTCCCTTTTAAAAGGTTTTGTGATATCATTCTCTTTTCCTTTTTCCTGTTTTTCTCTGTTCTCTGATTATTTTTTTTATCAGACGAAAGAAAAGTCTATCTTTCAGCCTTTTGATCTCCAAGTACACTACTTCAACTTCTTCATATACCTACAGCCTAAAGTCTACATGTCCGACTGAAGCGTCTCTCCACACTAATGATAATGGGTCTTGAATTGAAATCATCTTCCTCCACAAACCTGCTCCTTTTCCTGCCTCAGGGACCAGCCTCACATCCACACAGGTACTAAGCTGGAGATAAATCCATCCCCTTGAACTCCCCTCCCCCCCCCACTCACCTCTAATCAGTTATTTCGACTCCTAGCATCTGTCTCCTACCCCTAGAATCCATTTCCACTGCTTCTTCTTCAGTTAAGGCCCTTATCTTCTGTTACCTGGATTATCATGGTGGTCTGCTAATTGCTTCTTTTCTGATTTATCTGCCTCACTGCTGCCAGATACCACACTACAGCCAGAATAATCTTTCTAAAATTCAAATCAAACCAACTCATGTCATTTCTCTGCTTAAAAAACCTTGATTCCTCCCCCAGTAACTTTCAGGATGGAATTAACACACAAGGCCTCCAGGATGTGCCTCTGCCTACATCTTTAGCCCCTTCTTCCAATGAAGTACCCTAACACTTTCTTTTTCCTGAGCATACTTTATCACACGCACATGATTTTTTATGTCCTTGAGCTTCTTCTTAGGGTATTCTCCTACCCTCTCAACACTGGTTCAGCCCACTAACTGCTTACCATACTTTTCAAACATGTCTTCCTTTAGGAAGTCTTCCTTAACTCTCTCTACCTAACTAGGTGCCCCTCCTCTATTCTATGAGAGACACCTATATATACTTCTATCTCTGCTGTTGTCGTTACTGATTTATTTATATGTCTGTACTACAATATACTCTCCATGAAAGTAAGGACTATGTATTATTTGACTTATGATTTTATAACTATTAGTAGAATAAAATAAATGAATAAATATTAATATATAATATAATATAAATAAAATATATAATATAAATAAAATAAATGAATCACTATTTTAGTATAAAAATAAAAGTCAAGCAAATAAGGGCTGGCAGGTGGCATGGAGGTTAAGGAGCTGGATTCCCACATGGCTGGCTGTGTAGTTTGAGTCCCGGACCCAACAGCTTGAAAATCACACTGAACGTGTGTGCATGTCTTCCCAACGTCCAGAGAAGAGATTTTGTGTTGCCACTGCCTGGGGGATGATTTCTTACTTGTTTTCTCTTTCTCACTCTCTCTGTCTCTCTCTTGAGAGTGCCCTATAGCAAAAAAAAAAAAAAAAAAAAAAAAAAAAAATTGGGAAAAAAGCACCTGTTATAATCTGATATCTACATTTACTTATGTTTCTCTTCAAACTGTGTCATCCCTTAAATAAGTGTTAACATAGTTATTATTATTTTCTTTTTTGGAGAGGTTTTCACTATAGGGCGCATGCGCTCGCCAGACAGACAGAGAGAGACATAGAGACAGAAAGCGAGAAATCACCCCAAGGGGAGATGGTCACACCACAATCCCTTCTCCTCCATTTTCCTCTCCGGATCTCGGGCAGGCATGCACAAGCGCCCCGCGTGAGTTTTAAGCCACTGGGTCCGGGACGTGAACCGTGGTCAACTACGTGGGAGTGCAGTGACATAGCCATTACGCTAACTGCTGGTTCCCAATATAG